GTTTCGGCGAGGTCTCACTCGCCATCTTCAGGCTGGGTTTTGGGCTTAAAGCATGGTCGGAGCTGCCGTCTTTCTATAAACCTTGGTGGGGATCTGAGGAGTGCTGGCCCCATTTCAGCAAGTGGATTGATTGGATGTGTGGCTGTATCATGATTGGTAGATTGGTGCTGATTGGTGCTGGTACATACATACATACATACACACACACACACACACACACACACACAAACACACGTGTGTATATATATGTGTGTGCTGGCAATAGATAAGGCTCTTTGGCATTCAACCTTTTTTAAAAAAAATACATGTAGTTCTCCAACCTGGATTAAGATTTATTAAATTGTCATCTCTCTGTATAAATCACTATTGCTTACTTGAAATAGGGGGTGCACTTAGCATGATTTCCTTTTATACATGCTAGTTTTTTTTATTATTCTTATTCTAAAAAACTTGAACTATTGTCAGGTTTGTGTGCTTCCAGACTTAATTCAGAAAAAAAAGACCATTCCCCAGAAGATACTGTTCTAAGGTAAAATCTTAGCAATGAAAACCCAATCTCTAAATGTATTTAATACTAAAGAGAATAATCAGGTGTTAGCAATGTAGCTTTTCTTTCAAGGAGCATGAGGGGTTAGTAAATTTGCCAAAATTCTGGAGTTCATTCCCTTTGGAACATCAAGTCTCTAGTATGAAGTCAGCAGGAGTTGACTTCTTTAGTCAGGGGTTTTAATTTTTATTTAACTTGATGTACTGCCAATGTCTCTCAGTGGTTTACAACTAGGTCTGTTTTCTGGGCAGGGTGAGTAGTGCTGCCTATGGAAATCTGTCAGATTATGCCAACAATCTGAGCTAGAATGGGAAGTGTTTTCTTCCTTTGTAAGTCATTTGTTATAAATTTATAACAATAGAATTAGCAAATCCAACATGAGGAATAGGAGGCTATGTTGGTTAATGTGGTATAATATGCTGGATAAACTCAGCTTTTAGTTTGCTCTTAGGCATGGAAACTCACTGGGTAAACTTTGAACCAGTGATTCACTCTCAACCCAAGCTCAGTATCTTGTCTGGTATGAAAGATGGATATAGCAATTTTAAAACAGATAACTTCAACTCTTAGAATTCCTCAGGCAGTATGGGGTTGAAAAACACTGCTTTATGATATGGTCATGCCAACATACATCTAAAGGAGAAAAATCCTGGATTCATACATTGGACTAAGTGAAAGTTTGATTGGTTTTGACTAAGTACAGCATTTCTCAAACTGTGGGTCACCCACAATTGTAAAATGGAGGGATTTACAAGCATCACATTTGAAAGAGAAGAAAGACTGAGATTGTTAATAGGTGCACTTGGAGATGAAACATTGCAACCTGATAGAGTTTTCCAAACTGCAGCATTTTAATAGATTTTAAAAAAAATATTTTTCTCTTTCTCAGATGGCAATAGTTAAGACATATTTGAGAGTAATGATATATTCAATTTAGAGCTTTCCTTTCCTTTGGAAGGCCAAAGTATTCTTCTCTCCATTTAGAGAAATAGGAAACTTTCTTTATCATTACCTTCACCTTGGTTGGCGAGGAACATGGGCCAGTCCTAAAGGCTGGGGAAGGCTCGGACGAGGGCTCTGCATTGGAGGCAGAGGTAGGGCCAAGGCCATCTGGCAATTCTCAGCTGCCTTCACTAGAAGCAGTGAGGCAGAGGAACAGCTGGAGCCTGTCCCTAGAGTGCACATGCACAGAGCTGCCAGGAGACAAGAACAACTAAGAAATCAGGGTTGACTTGGGAGGAAAGCCACAAGTAGACGGTGATCGTCCCCTCCCATAGGAAATAAACGAGGAGTGAAAGGGGAGTGGACTTTTACAGGAAACAATATGTTTGTTCGATCGTTAGTTCGTTTCAGGAGTGTGAAGAAGATCTGTCTGTGAATCTCAAAGACTCTGTGCCAAGTCTTTCCTCCACACTACATTTGGAAAATATTTACATGGCAGCTTTCCAAGATAGATAAGGTCTGTGGTCATAACTTCATCTTTGAAAGACTGTTTACCAGGCTTTTGCTGAATGTGAATGTGAGAAATTCACATTTGTCTAATAAAGGGGGGTTTGTTGGGACCAAGAATCTGCTTGGTACTTTTTGGGGGAAGCCTAGATCAGAACAGTGGCATGGTTCTTTGAACAAATAGTACATACAGAAATATACATGTATCTGGGTGAAATAAATGTCATGCCATAATAGAGGGCATGTACTTTTACTAACATATTCATTTGAATCAATTTTTTTGGCCAAACAATAATGTTCTCAGCAGGATGGAAGAGAGCACCTTTGGGAAATTAATTTGTGGGATATACTAATTGTGCAAATGCCAATTCAAATTTATAAAAGAATTCCAAATTATGTTTTGATTCAGCAAATCAGATCAATTTGGATTCAGAAAAAAAAACAATTCTCTATATAGGCACAAATTTATGGAATAATCCAAATTAGTCCAAAGTATCCTGTTGATTTCAGCATTCAAATTGATTCCCTGATTCACTGCAGAAAGTAGTTTACAAAAGTAGTCATAGCTGAATGGTTTGGTTTGATTTCAGGAAGTTTCAGGTTATTAATCTTGTCATTTGTAACTGTTTAGACCAAATGTCTGCGGGGGACAATGCTGCTCAGGGTGGACAACAGCTCCTAGAACAAATCGATGTATTAAACGTGAGTATAAAACTTTTACAACTGCTATTATCAGAATTGCATATGGAATTGTACCTACTGCGTAATATATACAAGGTGCAAAACAAAAATCCCAGTTTCGAGGGCTTGGAGTTCTATATTGATAATAGTGAATGGACCGACAAAGGATGGGATAGAAGACAGATGGCAAGTTTTTGCAAGCCAAGTATATTTGGAGTTTCTATGCTGATGCAGATAGAATTTGTCATAGAATGGTTTTTATCATATCTGCTTTAGCATTGTCTATCTGGAATGTGTTTGAGAAAGTATATCCAAATATTAGAACAGTGATAGCAATACAATTTTGCTTCATTTTGTAGACCTGGTGGAGCTGAGTTTCTTTTGCTTTTGAAATTTTACACAGATTAGACATTCCAGTTAGCATTGGCTGTGTTATAATTATGGTTATGAGGTACAAAATATTTTGTGATGGCGCTGCAGCATTCCTAGGAATTTTAGTGGCTGTACCTGGTAGAGATTTACTTACTACTACCTTATCAGTGAGCTGTCCTGGCTAAATCAGTTCACACCTATTATAAAATTCACATTCAGGAACCAAAAGTAAGATAATGAGTGTAACCATACTAAGCATGATTCTCAGGCAGGAATAACTACAAAACAGAATTTAGTAATGATACTTCTTGGCTTTGTTTGCACAAAGTACTTAAACAGGTCAGTTAAAAATCTAGCAGCAGCATTGCAGAGCAAAGTTTACCTTAGTTTTTCCCCCTGTATAAATCTAATCCTTTTTGATCAGTTAAATTCTATTACATTGTATGAACACAAATATCTTTCTAAACAAATTTAGTACAGCTGGTCCTCAAATTATGACCATAATGGGGGGGTCTGCCCATAATGGTTATATAACGGTCATAAAACTGTTTATGTTGTTTTTACAATGGTAAAAAGCAAACCAGTAGTTCACTATGAGCATAGTTTTTCTGAAAATTGGAATTGCTGGTTTTCAGCAAAGTCATCATAAGATAGAGTCACGTGACTGTAGAATGCTGCAGATGGCTGTTAATACAGATGTGCTGCTGAATGTCTGAGGTGTGGTCATGTCACTATTTTGGATCCAGGTCAAAAGCTTCCTTTATCAGGTAGGTCGTAACCTCAAATAGTCACTAAGCAACCAGGAGACTGGAAGCTAAAACATATCAAGAATGGTTGCTGGAATTGGGTATGTCTAGTTTAATGAAGGAAAGGGTCGTGGTGGCTCAGTGGCTAAGATGCTGAGCTTGTCGGTCAGAAAGGTTGTCAGTTCAAATCCCTAGTGCTGCATAATGGAGTGAGCTCCCATTACTTGTCCCAGCTTCTGCCAACCTAGCAGTTCAAAAGCATGCAAAAATGCAAGAAGAAAAATAGGGACCATCTTGGGTGGGAAGGTAACAGTGTTACGTGAGCCTTCAGCATTTAGTCATGCGGCCACATGACCACGGAGACGTCTTCAGACAGTGCTGGCTCTTCAGCTTTGAAACGGAGATGAGCACCGCCCTCTAGGGTCGGGAATGACTAGCACATACGTCCGAGGGGAACCTTTACCTTTACCTTAGTTTAATGAAAAGAAGGACTAGGGGTGACCTGATAGTAGTGTTCCAATATCTCAGGGTTTGTCACGAGGAAGAGGGAGTCAACCTATTTTCCAAAGCACCTGAAGGCAAGAAGCAATGGATGGAAACTAATCAAGGAGAGAAGCAACCTAGAATTAAAGAGAAATTTCCTGACAGTTAGAACAATTAATTAGTGGAATGACTTGCTTCCAGAAGTTGTGGATGCTCCAACACTGGAAGTTTTCAAGACAAGATAGGATAATCATTTGTCTGAAATGGCATAGGGTTATATAGCCTGAGCAGGGGCTATAGAACTAG